TGTGTATGTTAACAACTTCTACAGCTGAAGTGGTTTGAAGTAATTCCAACCTATGCTTCAAAGAAATTCTGCACTAAGTGTAGATTTTAAAAATAGGCCGCTTTCTGTTGTCATGGATTTTTCTGGATGTGTTTAAAAGCCGTTTGGATGTGGTGCTCAGGGACATGATTTAGCGGAGGGTTGTTAGAGTTAGGGTAGGATGGTTAGCTTGTGGTTGGACTCCGTGATCTTTAAGGTCTTTTCCAACCCAAACAATTCTATGATTCTGTGATTGTATTTTATTATTTCCAGGGCAGTTTTTGGATTTTTTCATGTCTTCACTCAGTAACAGTGAATTTCAGTGAGTGCTAGATTTTTCAGCATTCAGGTTGATAGGGTTGAGAATTTAGCTGCAGTTATATGTACTTAGAAGCTTGTATCATGTAAATTTAATTGTAATTACTTAAGTATGTCTCAGTCTATTTCATTATCAATTGTAGTTTAGCTATGTAAAATTAAGTTCCTTGCAGCTTTTAGAATTATTTTATTAGTGTATCTTCATGGCTTATGAGCGATTCTCTGTCTGGATACATTTCCATTTCTAGTTGTATTTTTGTGGTTTGCTTTCTTAAGTCAGTTCATATGAAAATATTTTGGTTGCACGGTATTTTGCTTTTACAGCAGGGACTACTTTGATCACATTGTCAACCAACAAACTCAGAATAGCGGACTTAAGATACAAATGGTTTTCTATGCAGCTAAAGACTTTTTCCTGTTTTGATTTTATTTTATTGTTTTATTTTTTTTAATAGGCCCTTGGACTTAGGAGGGATGACACGTTTTCAGTCACAATGCTCGGACATTGCATAGAAATGTATATTGGTGATTCTGAAGCTTACATTGGTAAGTCATTGAATCCTTGGAGAGAGATCTTGCATCAAAAAGACTGTCTACTGTCATCCTGCTTTTCCAGCAATTTTTTCTCACAATTGAAGCAGATGTTTCTTCTCAATATTGTCAGTTAATACATCTGGAAGAACGATGCAGCTGTGTTAAATACCTTACATGCATCATGGGTTGTATCAACTTTAAACAATGAAAAAACCCTCATAGAAAGCTGAGAAGGGAACTGGCAGCTGCTTCTAGTAATAGACTTTGAATCTGAATTTTACTTTGTGTGTGTAGGTAGGTAGTAGGCTGCTAGATTTTTGTCAGACCAACACTTAAACTTTAGTGTTCTGAATACACAGAGAACCAGAGTCGTTTCTGGATATTGTTTCGTGATATGTTTTGGGAATGTTTGTTAGGGACAAACTGATGGTTTGTCTGTTTTCCTAGGAACAGAGATCAAAGACAAACTAAGATGTTATGACTTTGATGTACACACAATGAAGACCTTAAAGAACATTATTTCACCTGCCTGGGATTTCAGAGAATTTGACATAGAAAGACAGACTCTGGATGAGAGTGGTATAGTAACGTTAGAGACATCACATCAAAGGACAAATACTGATACCAGCCGTCCACTGGAAGAAACATTTGAGATAGAAATGAATGAAAGCGATATGATGCTAGAAACATCAATGTCAGACCACAGTACATGACCATAAGTTCTGATAGTGGGCACATTTTGTCTAAGTATTTGTTTTAGTGTTTTTGTTATGGTGTTATACTTTCAGGAATTTGCTATTTTTATATGAATTCATACTACTATGCTGTATTTAACACCACAGAAATAATGCTTGCCTTAAGGATGATTAAAAAATACATGAGGGACTATTTCCAATTTTATTATTTCTACAAAGTTAATCATATGTGATAAAGTAAAAACAAATAAATAAATGCACATTATGTTTTTAAAACTGTTTACTGATCCTTGTGTCTGCCATCAGTAAGACTGTGAAGGTTTAAAAATAATACCTAACATGGAAGAGTTTACAGTATTGCCAAATGGATTAGCCAAGGTCTAACACAGTATTATTGTAGCTTCTGAGTTTTCATCCCGTCTGTGAGGAATGCTTTCTTAGTAAATAGACCAAAAAATCCATGAGGTTTTACACTTACTACTTCATAAGTATGTATTTCTTCACAGAGTGATTCCAGTGGATTCCCATCACTTGACTCTAATTGGACGTGCATTAAATTGATGACAAAGCATGTTACTTTGTTATGCCTTGTCCGAATTATTGTTGGCTTCTTTGTTGTTATTCTATATTGTGCTACTGAGAGGTCGTGTGAGAACTGTTTCTGGTAAGCTGATGGGACAACAATATGAATGGTGAAAATACCGAGGTAAATTGGTGTTTCCTGCAATGAATGATACCTGAACTATTTTTCAGTAGTGTAATAATAAAGTTGTAAGCCACAGTGTACTTCTGTAGAAAATGCAGTCATTCTCTTTACACACAGTTGTTTTGCCAAGGCAAAGGATAAACTGAATAATATAAAACTTTTACAAGTCTCTAGAGTGGTGTTTTTAAATGCCATTGGCTCACTGAAAAACAATGAATTAAAGCATATGTTTCTGTAGAGAAGCAATGATTTGTCCGTCCACTGAACAGAATTGGGTCTGTCTGCCTTCATAGTATGAATGTTGAATGTATTTTGTGTAAATAGCTCCTTTCCCTTTGTGCCTGTTTCACCTATGTCACTACGGTGGGCTTAAAATTAAAAACATAATGCTACAAGCTGTCATAATTTTTTCTTCCGTGACTTCTTGCTGGATTTTGACATTTAATGTAAAGAAAAGATTCTCTGAGGTTTAATAGTCCAGGCTTCAGTAGTAAGTATTTCAGTGCTCAAAAGCTAGCTTTTTCTGTAGATAAGGATTTTTCATTAAGTTTAAAAAAAAAAAAAAAAAAAAAAAAAAAACAAAGCTAATTTGTCTTTTAGCAAAATAGAATGATTGGTCTAAAATACAATTTTTATACCGTATTTCACTACATTCGTGTTGGCATTTAAACAATCATTTTTCAGTTCTATCTTCAGCACAAAACATGTGTGATACAATTTTCATCTGCTTTACTAGGACATGGTTTAAAAAACAAGTGGCATACTAGTGCAAGTCATTAAATATTTCCTATACTAATTTTTATTGATGCTTTTCATAAATAAGAAGAGACAAGGGATGAGCCCAAGTATATACATATATACTGAAATCTTCCTTTTTTCTTGTTTTTTGGTAGTCTATCTTCTTTCATTAGCAGTCTTGATATGATAAAATGATAATACATTTGTTTATTTTTAATCTACAGTAGGTAAATTTAAGATTCTAGTCATGCATCCCGGAAAGAAGTTTCTACATACATGTTGGCTAAATACTCCAGCAAATCTGGCCTCTTGCTAATGTCAGCCATGGACGTCTGTGGATTTTTTTCTTTTTTTCCTATGTTGCTGCTTTTTTCATTGACTAACTAGTCTTAAAAATTGATAATATTTGATATCAGTTCTGATCTGATGGTGTGTTGGCTCTGATGGCAATCCTGCTTAGTTGTATTCCTGCACTGCTGAGAGCAATTGGCTTGCCCCTTAGCCACTTCCAGAGCTGTTGTAATACAAATTTGTATGCTTAGGGTGTAAATCAGGTATGGGAACTCGCCTAGCACTTAAAAAGCTTTTCTCTGTCTGATCTCTCAGGTTGAAAAATTGTGAACCGCTGTGTAAAAGTCGTCAGTGGGGCTGAGTGGAGAGAAAAGGGAGGGTACAGAAAACTGCTCTTGCTCTAAAGGCAATGTGTCATGACCCTTCAATTCTGCAGCTATCTGCTGAAGTTTTTTGGCTGGTTGTTGCTAGCCCTTCTTTATTGCCACTAAAAGTTACCTAGAAGGAAACATTTTCAAAATGTCTTAGACTGTGAATGATTTTTCCTGGGCAACATCAGAGGAATTCTTGATGAAGCCTGGTTTGGCTTCCAGTTCTTCAGGCAGATACAATTAGGTTAGTGCTTGTTAAGCTAATGTTGTGCATGCCTCAGAGAGGACTTCAGGAAAAGCTTCTTTCCTTATTTCTGTTTACTGCTCGTGTTCTGTCCGAATCTTCATCTTTGCACCTGCATCTCCTGCTGTGCCTCCCAGTACCTGTCCTGCTCCAGCCTATGACTAACATGCCTGCTAAAGCAACGTCTTACACGTAACCTGCTCTCTAGCAATCCTAACCCACTGTGGGGGGACACTGCTGTTGTCTTCAAGGTTTTCATGATTTGAAAACTCATGGACACAGGACCTGCAAGCTGATGCCAGAAACAACTGTCCCTTTCCTCATGGTGTGGCATCCCCAGCACCTGGCTAGCTTTCAGCCCTAGCCCACCAGGCCAAAGGGGAATGGTTTGAAACTAAGATTCAGATTAGATGTCAGGGGTACATTTCTCAGTGAGAGGGCAGTGAGGCAGTGGCACAGCTGCCCAGAGAAGCTGTGGTGCCTCATCCCTGGAGGTGGTCAAGGGCAGGTAGAGTGCTACTCCATGCAGCCTGAGTTGGTGGGGGCAGCCCACGGCAGGCTCGGCTTTGAGGTTCCTTCAAAACCAAACCGTTCTGTGATTCAATGACTGCTGCTCCCATCCTGCCACAGGAGACGTGGCTGAGGCTGTGGCAGGGAGGGCAGAGCCAAGTGTCCGCTGTCTACAAGGCAATTGGGCTCGCGGACCACGATAGGACGGTTCTTCAATTGCCCTTTCTGTGCACACAATGGAGGCCCTGCGGGATTCCTGAAAGCACCTCTCCTCAGAACATCCAGCAGACAGGACGGGGATGAGAACAACGATGGCGACGCACAAGGACAAGGACAGCCCCGCCGTCGCTACTCCGGGGGCGGAGGAACTCCCTTCGCCCCTCAGCCAAGTCTCGCGAGATTCCGCCCGGCAACTGGGCAGTTCTCGCGAGGTTTCCGCCTCGCTGCGGGCGGCGGCTCCATGCGGTCGGAGCGGGAGCCTGGGCTGGGACCGGCGAGGGGCGGCGGCTGCGGCCGCGAGAAGCGACCCATGGAGGTTCCCCTGGGGCGGGAGTCTCCGCGCCGGGAGCCGGACACCGCGCCCAACCCGCCGCCGTCCCCGGCCCCACCGCTTCCCTCGGCGCCGGTTAAACTGCGAGATGAGAAAAAAACGGCGCTGAGCAAAGTGAGGGGTGCGGGGCTGGGGGTGGCGGGGTGGGGGCGCGTAACCGCCGCGCTCGTGGCGGGGTGCGGCTGCGGGCGCTGAGGCACCGCGGCACCGTGTGGGGAGCGCTGCCTTCCCCCGTGCCGCATCGGGAAAGCGGCGCCGCGGATGTCCTGTGTGCGGTGTGCTGGGCTGCCGGGTACCGCCCAGCGCCGATCCTCCAAGGGACACCGAGGCTGAGGCTGCAGCCGCAGCTCCCAGGTTAAGGAGGGGCTTTTAGAAGAGGACCGGCGCGATCGATTTGGTCTTTTTCGTGCTATTCAGATGGAAGATAACTCTCCCTTTTATCTACGCAGGTGGTTATTCGACGGCTCCCTCCTTGTCTAACCAAGGAGCAGCTGGAGGAGCAGCTACACCCTCTCCCTGCTCATGATTATTTTGAGTTTTGCACTGCTGATCCCAGGTGAGGATGAGCTGTCTGTGTAGGATTTCAGGTGCTTAAAGCATTATTAAGGCAGTTTGGACACTCAATTACTTATTTTGTCCATGGAGCCCATTTGTAAGTTACATAAAATATTTGGATATATATATTTGCAGAGATAATACATTCCTGTCTCTTCCATATGTACTCAACGGTTTTAAAACAATTTTTTTTTGTGTGCAAATAGAGCATAGTTTTGTTTGAAACCATCACCCTGCTTTTAATTAGTAAAAATTGTTGTTTATTGGCTATGATAAAGACAACTGAGGGGAAACATCACCAAATTTTTCATGAGTGCCATTCGACCTCAATTTCTTAATTTGCTTATGTATTCCTGTCTTTATTTCATACCAATTTTTTTTTCAAGTAATCAACTTTTATTCATTAACATACTCGGTATCACAGTGGCAGAATGCCATTCCCTTTTGAACAGAACAATTTCTAGATGAATTTAACCATAGAAGTAACCAAAGCATCCTATCTGCTACATCTCCTTGTGCTCAGAATAACTAAAGGATGTGATTCATCTTGCCCAGCTTAGGCTGTCTTGGTGTGCGGTGAATCATCCTCCATAGGCGTACATATTTATATATGTACATATATACATGTTCTCTCAGAGTCAATTCCACAAAAAGTAACCAATATCTGTTTAGTGACAGTTTGGTGCTTGCTTTCTCCAAAGAGTGTCTTCATCCTAACTGCGCAAATGCCAGGAACCAGTTCAAAAATGAAAATTTTAACTTTCCAAAGCAGTTGTTGGCTTAAGAATCTAGGTTATCACCAGTCTTCAGAAAGATAAGCAACGGGCAACAGTTGGCTTTCTATGACTATTTGTTGTTTTACTGGACCAGCATCATGTTGCCCATCCCAGGTCATGTTTTCTATACATGGTCTTTTTGTCTTCCACTGATTCCACTCTTTCTAGATCTTGTACCAGGCACATAGTAGCAACCAATACAGGAAGTTGAGTGGCAGTGAATTCATAGAGATTAAATGCTACCCAATGAAAGAATGGCTTGGAGAAGCTACTCAGAGAGGAGGACACTTTTTGGAAGGAGAGTGAGGCATACAAATGGACAGGTTATGATTCAGAAGCAGACAAGTTTGTCCTTAAATGCTGTTAGATCCCATTTTAGCCCCATGTGGGGATTCCAGAGAACAGAAATTTGTAATAGTTCATTCAGTTTTCTCCAGCTGTGGAATACAGACATAATACTTTTTCACTCTTAAGCTGTGCAACTTTGTGCTTGAGAACAATGTCAGAAATGGAGGTTCAAAATGGTTCAGAAGCCAAATACTGAACTATACAAGTATTAATCCATGAAGACCTATTAAACACAAGGGTGTGAGTTTTGAATTACAAAGTCCCTGGGCTGCAAATGGCTGAAATGATGCAGTAGGTGAAGTGTCAGTTTGTAGTTTCCTCTTATTTATACATTTCCTCTAAGCATCCCCTACCTGTTGTGCTCAGAGAGGACTTCTTTTTTCTTACCAAGGTCATCTCACCCCACAGGACAGAACAAACATTTGTGGTCTACCCATGTGTTTTTGTAAGATACGCATCCATATATCAAGTCTGGTTTTACTGTTCTTGTGATAAAGGTTACTTGTAATTTTATAATGTCCTGTTATTATAACCAAACTGTAAAACTTTTAACAATTTCATATAACTCAGATGTCATTATTGTGTAACACTGTTACATCCATTTCAGTAAAATCATTTCACAAAGTTTGACTCTTGTGTTGTAATTCATTCATTTTTTCTGATGCATTTGATTCACTGCATTAAGTTCCGTTTTCTCTCTTGTACATTGGTATCAAAATACAAGCAAAGCAGTGTGTTTGTCACTGATTCTGTGGCCTTCAGGAGGGTTTGATAAGCATGCTACCTGTAGTTGACAGTGAAGAGGCTGCCTACTTGGTGGTCCGGTCTTGTTCTCAGGTGCCAAAAAAATAACTACATCTTCTAGATATTCTTTTAAGGCTGCGTGTGTTTGTGAGCCTTCTAGAACTCTAGTGCAGCGGTTGAGCTCTGCTCCTGCAGGACTTGGGTCATCCCTCAAGACTGGCAGTGACTGCAGAACTCACTAAAAATGTAAGAGTAAAGAGATGAGAACAGGAGCTTTGCTTCTGTGAAAGCCAGCCAAGTAGTTGATGCCTTACCTTGTATCAAAGACAGAATCTTGCAAACAACACTCCTCCTCTGCCATCATAGGTGCTTCCCAGTGTTTTGTGGAGGATCATTGTAGGCAAACAGCATTCCTACTGCAGGATGGCAGCGTGCACGCAGGAACTGAAGAACAACACCTTTAAGGGAATCACATGTGGTGTGATAAAGGAGGCAGTGGTTCTTGGTTGGTCACCACAGCTGCGGTGTTGCTGATTCTTGGCTGCCAGACAAATTGTGCTTGTTTTCTATCTGTAAAAAGGGAAAGCTCAGTTCATTAAAAATTACACCAGTACCATCCACTGTATGAATGGCAATAGGTAGAGACAACGATGAAGGCCAGTGGATTTTAGCTTGGTGTACAAAGAGTTATCAAGTTTGATCCAAAATTATGCTTAAACACATGAGTGGATGGAGGAGTTTACAGGGCACTCCAAAATTTATATGTTGATTTTATATATGTATTTAATATACGTATGTTAATGCATGTGTATGTACATATGTATGTGCACCACAAATGATAAGTTGGTATTATATGTTACTGTTTATATTTTAGATAACAACCTTGCTGTATCTTCTTACAAAATGGTGCTAAAAGATAAGAAAAAGATAGCTTTTAGAACATTTTTGTTGTAGAAATTGTCGGAAAAGTTTAAGGGGATGTTGTAGTTAGTATTATAAAAATGCCCATTACCTAAAAGATTGAATATCCTGCAGCGCACAACAGAAAGCAAAGAAACTGTATGTTGAAGTGAAGACATGTGAATAGTCAGACTTGTCTGGGTTATTTCCATAGAAATGCCTGTAATTAATATCACAGAGATGCCAGCATCATGTGCAGTGCATCTGTCCAAAATATGATGTGGATGGAAAGCAGCTTTACAGAAAGTAAACATGGGTAAAGAGAACCAGCTGTGTGATGGTAAAACTAGCCATGCAATCTCGAAACTGAACTTCAAATCCCAGGTGGTATCTGTGCTGGCAGATGATTGAGAAAAAGAGGAGACGTGCAGGGCCCAGGGTCCCTTTTGTAGAGCAGTGCCTGGGGAACTCGTGTGGAAGGCAAAGCCCTGCAGAGCAAAAGCTGTTTTCTCCAATGTCTTCAGAGAGTTGGACTGTACCTTCCTGTGAGAGGACGGCAGCCACAGTGGCCTCCCAGCCGTGTGAAGCATGTGCTTTCTGCTGCTCAGCAGCACTGCTGAGTTCTTAGAGGATGGATAAATGGCGAGAGAATCTGGAGCAGGCAGCTGCAGTTGGAAGGTCCCTGAAACCCAGGCTGCTATTAGGCATTTCTGATCTGCTAGGTTTAGTCAGCTTCCCATTTGGAAGTTGAGTTTCATGCATTCTTTTTTTCAGATGCACTGCTGCTGTTGGATAAAAAGCTTGAAGGGATCCGAAACACAGATCAGGCTTTTATGTAACTGATATCCCACTCGTGTTTGAGGACGGGCTCTTTATTTGTAGAAGTGACTGCATCGTGTACTTTCTAAGCATTGTCACAGCTATTTGTCTGTCACCTTCTACCCTGATACACGGCAACAGTAATGGAGAGAGAATCCAATTTGATTGTGCTACTGTGCATACCAATATCACACTGTAGACAAGCATGCTTTAGTATGTATGTTTAGTATATTTAGTATGTTTCTGCTGATGTGAAGTTCTTGAAGACTTAAAATGTATCTCAATTACGTTGGATCCCTTATTTTTGAAGACAAAGTCTAAATCCTTGCTTTCCAGGGACTGTGTCCAGAGAACATTTACATGTTCCAGATGCACGTTGTTCTCTTACTAATACATGTTTCTCTGTTTGAAAGATACTTTGATATCAAAGTCTAAGCAAAAAACGTTAGAAAAATCCTATGTTGGAAAAGATAATATTTCCGAATCAGATGGGAAATGGATGGATGGTGATCACCATGGAAGTGAGAGAGGTTTGTTCCTTCCTGGGAGCCATCACTTACCAGACTTCTTTGCTGATGCAGCAGTTAAGAGGCACTTCTTCCAGCACAACTATGAAGTGTCACAGTAGACTTTCTTTCTTTGCAGACACTTGCAACTCTTACTGTTTTCTAAAGAGTTTTCTAATATTACTTTTTGACAGTATATACTGTTAAAAATCATGAAAGCTGTTAAATTTCATCCTTTTTTTTCTTGCTTTGAAAACACTGAGATGGAAGCTGGCTTGTTTCTGCTGCACTGCATGTTGCTAATGACTCCACGCGCTCCTGGAGATGCCTTGTGTTTCATGTGCAGACCGGAGGTTTGCAAATCTGATAACGTAGAACTCTGCAGGGTGTGTGGAAGAACTCCATGGCAAAGCACAGCCATATGTACCCATGCTCATTTGGTTGAGCTGTCTAGATGTTTCCTGCGAGCAGACTGTACCACCTGTGTGAGCTGTGCTGGATAAGGAAGTGTGCTCTGTGTAGCATCTTTCAGCACTGCTTTGTGTCAACAGCATAGCACTAGCTGTGCCCAGTCAGGCATTTCTGTGGTTGCCTCCCTTCTTGGAGATCTTCTGAAGCCCCATGGCCCTGGGCACCCTGCTCTGAGTGGCCCTGCTGGAGCAGGGGTTGGACCAGAGGGACCCAGAGGGTCCCTGCCAGCCTGAGCCGTCCTGTGCTTCTGTGATACCTGCTTGCAGTTCATTCAAGGCTATTCCCTTCCTAGAATGTCAAAATAGTGAATAAATATGTATGAAATAACAATTCCATAGAATTAGAGGGCGCATCTTCTGCATGCTTTAGAGGCACCTTGTAAAACATCTAAGTGAGAAAAGCCCTCTTGCACTTGTAAAGTGTAAGACTTTACTTCCACTGTAACTTCCACTTGAAGCACTTTGTGCTTCTCCTGACTACGATGTCAAGCACAAGTTGGGGCATTTTACAACATGGTTAGATATCAGCAGTGCTGCTCTTTGGTCACCTTGCAAAATGCAAAGTGGAATTCACATAGACACACATCTGAAAAAGAGAAAATGATTACTTGTCTTGTAGTAACTGTTACTCTTTGAGATGCCACACACGTGACCTCTATCTTTGCTCTTTCTCACCGGATGTGAAAATCTCATTCTGAAATAGCTGTGATTTTAAATCTGGTTGCAACTGTGTGTGCTGATTGTCTTCTGCTGCTGCTGGTGAGTTTATCTTAAGACAGTGCTTGTATGGCAGCAGTACGATGAATACAGATATATTAAATTTATGGGCTCACGTTCAAATCAGATACATTCAAGTATATTAAAAAAATGTATTAACATGCAGACATCACTAAAAGCAGATTAAGCCAAACCTTTTTACATCATAATTGTGTGGGAGAGAGAGTTAAGTGTGCACCTGACACTTAGCTGATGAGTGGTAATGCATTACATTACCATAGTTCCATTGGTAGAGGTGGTGTGCCAGCCCTGAGGTTTTGATCTGGCACGCTAATATTTAGAGTGGAACCAGTGCCAACAAATTCTTGAAGGATCACAATTATATTGGGTAAGTACCTGTTCTTTCTTTTGCTAAAAAAGGTTTTTGATTTGTTCAGTAATTTTTCTCCACAATTAGACATTGCATACATATTCATGCACATGTCCAATTGAGTTTATTTGTATGGAATGCGGCATATTAGCTTGCCAAGTATTAGGTTATTTAATCTTTCTTTAAGGTGGGAATCTCTTTAAATACAGTGATGGCTTGGCGACTTCCAGTTCACTGAAAGCTTTTACTTCTACTGTGTCAGCAATGGAAGACTTTCCTATCATGCCCAAGAAGTTCTCCAAAAGCACTGCTGTTATTCATTTCTCAAGTCATGAACAAATAGACTTCAAGCTTTGATCCTACGAAATGGAAACGTATGCTCTGCAATTTAAGGAGACAAAACAAGCTAGAAACATTTGCTCAGAATAAATTTCACAGTTGGATCAGGAATTCAGTCACAGAGTTGATAGACATAATAGATATTTTTATATGTATGTAGAGACTTAAGTATGCATGATTAAGGTAGCCGTTTCCCAAAGAGAATGAGAATGGCAGTGTGATCTATCTATTTCATTTTTCCAGGCCTGAACGGAACAGTAAATAACAGAAAATAACATTGTTTCTTGTTGCAGCCTTTATCCTCATCTCTACTCAAGAGCATACATTAACTTTAGAAATCCTGAGGACATCCTTCTTTTTAGAGATCGCTTTGATGGCTATGTCTTCATTGATAATAAAGGTTGGACTATTTGTAAGATATTACATGTGAATACATACATACCTACATACCATTTTAGAACATTAATTCATTTCATTTTTTATAATTAAGCTTTTTTTTTTTCCTCAATATACAGTTAATTACATAAAAGTACACTAAAGCAAAATCTGGCTATTTAAAGATAATGAAGTGAAAAATGTATTTGTCCATGCAGTCTTGCTTGTCTGCGTGGTGTGCACAATTCATCTGCATTTTTGTAACTCAAGCAGCACACTGTCAGGATCCTATTCATTATCTTATGTGAGCTTCACAATTCACCACAACAGTGACCCAAAACATTGCAAGCACGAGTGGCTGGATTCTTTGGTGTGTTTCTGTGAGATAAAGCAGTGCTATGCATTCCCCTTCTGAGAAAGCAAAACATTGTCCTCACCATTTTGGTTGCACGATATGAGATATGTATGCCTTGACTTTTCAGAGAGCATTTATGTTTGATAGAACCTCAGATGCTTTCAGCCTGATTTCCATAACTGTGTGTGCTTACCTGTATTTGTCGATAAGAGCCTGAACATCTTGAGTTGCAAGCAAAGGAGTGATGAGATTAGTTGCCGCCTTTGAAATGTTCAGTTTGCAAGTTTGTCCAACAGATCTCTGTAATGTAGGTGTGCATAAATTCTGATCTACAATAGTTTTAAGCAGCCATAGCCAAGAAACAGTGTGTTACTGTAGCTGTTCCTTGCCTCACTCACAGATTCTGTTAGAAATTGCGTGGGTTGTATAAAAAGAAACTTGATTTGTGGGTTTTATTGAACATTGTCTATTTTGTGTGCTGAGTGTTGCAGAGGTCCTGTGAAATAGTCTTGTCTGGTCTTACTGGAGAGTTATTCTCCGTTGAAGCTGTCTGCCAAACTAATAAGTATCTCTGCAGCTTTTCCTACCTCAGATATTTCATATGTTTCATCACTCAAAGTGTTCAAGACCAGGTTGGATGGGGCTTTGGGCAGCCTGATCTTTGAGGTCCCTTCCAACCCAAACCAGTTAATTCTGTGATAAGCTTCTAACTTGGATTTGGATAGATTTTTCCAAAGGTGGAGAACAGCACATTCCTCACTGTATGTGATTGCCAGATTTCAAATTCTGCTGTAAAGTAGGAGACAGGGCAACTCCTTACTAACAGAGTTCCTTAATGTTTGTGTTTTATCTTGCCTTCTTCTCTGAAACAGCTGGGTTGTTTTAGCTGAAGTAGAAATAAACTATTTTTATGATTTTGCCAAGACTCCACGTAGTCTAAATTAGGCACATTCCTCAGTGTTATGCTGGATTGAAGCCAGAATATTGTGTGCACTACAAAACTGAGTTTGGAGACAGCTAGTCAGTTTGGCATGGTTGTTTGCAAATATCAAGCCCAAGCTTGGATTGCAAGTGCCTTCTAGTGAAGCTTGTGGCAGCGTTTCATTTATGAGGCTCAAACTAAAATAAGGATTACTAGGTTCAGAATGGTTAACAGATTTAAATCATATTTTCAGTAGACTTGAGCTAAGTGTGGTCTTGAACCTGCATTAAGTGGAAACCAGGCAAAATTCAAAAGCTACATGTTGTCCTCACAGCAATCCAAAGACGATTCCAGGGTGCAAGGCAAAACTCAAAACCAAAGAATCTAGCCCATAAACACAAACTAGAAGTTGTGCAGTTCACCATAATAGAAAGCAGAAGGAAGAGTTTCACACACTTGTACACTGTGAGTTTTAGAATTCTGAAAGAAGGCAGCATTTCTTTCGACTGTATATTAGCCAGTTGTTTGGTTGGTTGGGTTTTTTTTTTAAATTAAGATTTCTGGCAACAAAATGTTACAGAAGTTGCTCAGTTGTTTAAAATTCACCTCCCAGTAGTACTTACTCGTTTGTCAGCATGAGATTTGATGTCAGTTTTTTCTATTCAATGGCAATCTTTGAAGAATTGAAAGAGAATTATAAATGATAATGTAAAACTTTTACTGTGCAACAGCACTCGTCTTCATTTTGACAGCTTTTGCTAGCATGTCAAAATAATAATGTAATAATAATAATGTTGAAGTATGTGATTCAAATATTAAAGTATTTTGTTTTGAATCCAAAATACAGCCATGTGCGATTCGTCCTTAGAAATTTAGGATGGGAATTTAGAAACATCCACCTTTGCTTTCAAGTAAGGCTACCCAACGCAGATTTGAAGGGTTTGGAAAACCTTACTTGAATACAAGGAATGCTTCCCAAAATAAAAATTAAGTGATGATCTCTTTTAAGGTTTGGAGTACCCTGCAGTGGTTGAATTTGCTCCATTTCAGAAGATTTCTAAAAAGAAGTTGAAAAAGAAAGATGCCAAAGCTGGGAGCATTGAAGATGGTAAGCATACCTTCATGATGTCACAGTGGAAAATACATTCCATTTCTGTCGTGTGAAGTACTAACATAGTTCAAAAATTTATCTTCACAGACCCAGAATATAGGAAATTTTTAGAAAGTTACTGTGCTGATGAAGAGAAAATCTGTGCCAATCCTGAGACTCTTTTGGGAGAGATTGAGGCCAAAACAAGGGAACTCATTGGTCTGTTTTCTTGACTTTTCTTATTTTTGAGAATATTTAATATATTATTTTTATATCTTTAACGTATTACTGCATGATATGACCTGTTCAATCTGGTAGAGGCTGAGGTTATCACACTTAGGAATTTTATTCCCCAGCCAAGTAGTGAGAGGAAACACCTCTCCTGTTCTTTTGAGGCTCCGTGCATGGAATCACTTGACTTCACCAGAAGTTCTGCATGGGGAGTGGCTTCAGTTAGGTCCTTCGTACTTCTAAATGCTTACGGATGTGTTATAAAAAGATGTAAGATTTATTTTCAAAAGATAAAATAGCTAAATGCCTAACAGTTGCTCTCTGACATTAGCTGCTTTTATTGTGAAACATGAAATGACCTCTGTTCTCATGGGCAAGCTTTTGCAAAAGCTTTGAAAGTAAGGCTACGCTTTATTCTCTATATGCATGCAGCATGACTTTCACAGTCTCACGGGGAATCTTTAATAAGATATCGCTGAAATCTTCCTGAACAAATTGCATCAAATTTCAATTACAGGTTTCAGCAATATGAATATTACTAGTTACAAGCACAAATCATGAGTGTGTTGTCAACGAAGGGCAAACTGTGTGCTGTGATCCATATTGCGCTGTATAACAGAAATATGATGCTTTGTCTTCTTTTCAATTCAGTCTTTCAAAGAGTACCTTTATGGGACTGACTTAGTGACTGTAACACTCCACAGCAGTGCCATGCTTTAGATAATTATTTGACTATCAGCAAACATGTAGAAGAAGGCTGTTATTAGAAGATGCACAAAACAGACCTGGAAAGATGTGGAAAAAAAAAAAAGCAGATGGGATGAAATGCAGCACTCAGCACAGCAGTGCTGACTGCTCACGTTTTTCTGAGGTCAGAATATTTTAATTGCTAGGACTGTTAGAATACTGAACTACATAGAGAAAAATAAAGCTGTTAAAGGAGTTTGCAGCACAGACATGAATGATGAGGAGCAGTAAGCATTGCAGGAGGTGGTCACAGGTGATGAAGCCTCCCTACCATCATGCTAAGGGCAAGAAGCCCTGCCCAGCTCTGGCTTGGAGTAGTTCTGCATTTTAGCACATTGTCAAAGCTCTTTCAGAACTCTTACATTACTGAGAGAAAATTTTCCTGGTATGGAAGACCTATTTTTCATTGCAGATGTGATGTGATCTATGTCTTTTCAAAGCCTCTAAATAATAGTGCTACATCACACTGAGAAACACAGATAACTCTTTCCAGAATACTGGAACTTGGCAGCTGCCAGAACTCAGCTTTCAGGGTAACAGGGATTATTGGTGTGCTGCACCTCTAAGTGACAACCTGTAGAGCACTCACTCTTTCCCCTGGTGTGACAATTTGCTAGGAAAAAACAAACAAACAAACAAAACCAACCAAAAACCAACTTTTGCTGTTATTTCTCTATAATTTAAAAGTAGCCTGCTTTTTTTTTTTTTTTTTTTTTTGGTCCCTGTGTGTAACAAGCATTTATGCAGAGCAGCATTAGTTTGTCTTCATGTGCATAAATTAATAGTGTGCTGGGAAGATGTGGAACTTCAACAATGTGGAGGAAATGGAAGTTACAGAACTGTGGCCATTTAGCAAATTCTGTTATCAGTAACACTGTGGCTCTTCTCACTATGGAAGTTTCCCCAGTAATTTTTATTTACCCCCAAATCATCCTAGTATTGAAGAGCAGAGCACAAGCACTCAACTTTTTCTAAGAAAGTCTACAGTTTCCAGAAAGATGAACTTAAAAATACTCTGACTCGCAGTGAAGATGATCAGCTTTGAGAGCCACAGATTTCAAAATAACAAAGTTGCCTGAAAGCAGCTGGACATAAGGAATGTTAACAGTCTGTGTGTGTTAAACCACAGAAAATCTAATCAGTTGTTTTTTGCTACCAGTACAAAAACATAGATCACTTCAGTGGATGGCAAGTTTATAGCAAAAGCGTGTGAGACGTTAGGTTATGTGTATGTCTAGTTTCAAAGGTGCTAATAACTGCGTAAGTTAATGAAAGATGTGCCCAGGACTTTGTTGGCAGAATTGGGCCTTACATTCTCAGCATTTCTCCAGGTAGCGTTGCTACTGCAAGCCAGCATGGTTTGTGCATCACGTCAGATGCGTTAGCTCCTCAATTTCAGTGTGACAGAGAGATATAAAACAGAATTTCTCTGTAACAGGATAAAGGTAAGCTCATTCTTCTGGCTTGTTTGTAGAAAGCAAGATAAAATATAAAAGTTGTTGCTGATGGATTTCTTCATTTTGTAATGTATTTTCTTTCAACATTTCTTAAACGTTTACAGAAAAACCTTAGATTTTTATTTAGAGTAAGGCTTATAAATGAGGGGAGTATGATTCAAATTTTATTGATATGCATCTTTTTTTATCTTCCTCTTCTGATAGTACTCGTCACACTGCCTCTCTTCTGTGAACTTCCATGTTGCCATTTCTGATCCAACCCCTTGCACTACAGCATTAGTCATGTCTAGAATCAGGTGCTGGACCCCTGGTGTGGCAGATTCTTCCTCATACCTTCTGGTGACAATCTGTGGTCAATTCCAGCGTGTGGAAATGACCAGAGATGCTCAGACAGGGAATTTACAGGGGCAGGAGAGGGCAGCAGAGCTGCAGATTTGGGAGACTGGAAGGGAGGACAGTGAGGACCTAAAATTTGTCAGAAATTGTGGGCACAGAGGAAAGAAAGAAAAAGCACTGGAAGTATGGGGTAGAGAGAGGAATATCCCAAACCAGCAAGTCTGTTTTGCTTCTTGCTTTTGAACATTGATATTTGCTAAAGATAAACACTGAATCAAATCAAACTTATTAATTCATAACTTCACAACAAAGCTTTTTTGTTTAGGTTTCTTGTTTGTTTGTTTTTTTGCTCTTAAGTTATTTAGATATTCTAAACAAAAACATTCAAATGGTTTTGGGATAGGAGGGTATGTCTGGATTTCGGCTACGCCATTTGAAATTTGATTGAGAATTTCTTTTTTTCTTTTGCCTTTTCTGTTCTTTCTTCCAAATCGTATCATTTGCTGTTCTCTTCTGGTTTCAGGAAGAGACTGTAAAAATTGTAGAGCATTTTTTAGCTAAGTATTTTCTGTAACATTCTTTTCTGCTCACAGTATGTGGGTTCAAATTTGAATTCAGCGTTGACAATCGTAGGTGCCTTATGTATGATACAAAATTTGATGATGTCTTCAAGCTTCAGTAGAATTTGAGGATGGCTCAGGCAAGTGACTTAGGCTTGATTTTGGGGTGTGAAGATAGTTCTGTAACGTAAGAATGGCTGTGTGATCCAGCAAATGATCACCCAAATATGTTATTTGGGAAACCAGAGCTTTGTTGAATCTGTTGACACTTTGTTGTATCCTATATCCTATATCCTATATCCTATATCCTATATCCTATTTATCTTTTATTATTCTTGTTTTTCCATGGAATGGTGAATGCTAAATGGGAGTCCAATGGAAATGTTATATGTGAATGAGAATGTTTCTTTCATAATGTACTTTGAAATTTGGGACTGAAGAGTGATATGTGAGATATGTGGACTGTACGTGAACAGCAATCTAACTAGGTTTTGATGTACAAAAGTTAAAAGAGGAATAGATACAGTAGTAGGAATGTGGCAGAATTAGATACTGAACACGGTTATTTTTTTGATGAGCAAGAGAAAAATGCCATTTTCTGAAAATATATGATTTTAAATTTAAAAGTTAAATAATCAAGCAACATATCTCTGTTGCTTCTTACCCTATCAGCAAAAGAAAAAAACCAACAATCCCAAATAATGTGCTTCTAAAATGGAATGATGGGAACACCATCCATACAAAATAAATAGATTTATATATTATTTGGCTCTCTTGCAGATAAAGTTAGAAAGAAGGGATTAGTACTGAAGTAAAGAAATGAGTACATATTTTAGGAGTTGAACACTATATCACAAATTTTTTGTGTTTTAGCTAGAAGAACAACACCCCTTTTGGAATATATTAAAAATAGAAAATTAGAAAAGCAGGTACGTTCAGATTTTTGCCTGAAGTTCAACATTTATGTTTCAAGTGGTTTTCCTTTGGGCAATTCACAATTAATCGTTTTGAACTCTTCAGAGAATTCGAGAGGAGAAAAGGGAGGAACGAAGGCGGAGGGAATTGGAGAAGAAGCGTCTGAGAGAAGAAGAGAAAAGGAAACGCAGAGAAGAGGAAAGACGTAAAAGGAAAGAAGCAGAGAAACATAAGAAAATTTCTGACAAAGAGATAAGGATCAAGGTACCTTAACAAAACCAAAGCAAACCTCCTCTGCTGAAGTTACTCAGAAGTTCTTTTGGTTTCAGGCTGTTTATACCGTGTACCACGGTATGGTGTGGTGATAGCAAAGTCGTTTTTACTGGAAGGAGGAATAAAGTAAGGCTTAGGCTGAGCACTGTTGTTGAAAAGCCTGACTGAAAACCTTAGATGCAATGATGTGCTAATGCAGTTACAGTGACAGGCAACTGTATGTCCTTATATAACAATGCCACATTCTGTGCTGACATAACCTGACAGAACCAGATTGCTCTGTGCTAACACATCAGAGCATTAATGCAAATATGGCTTTTAGCTCTTTGTCGTGTAAATCTAGCCGTATGTGCTGAGGGTGTTTTTTGTTTATGCTCAGAACTGGTTTATTTTAATAGTATCCTTTTACCCAGTTATTAAAAAGGCTTGTTATAATTTATAAATAAGGATATATTTTAATAATGTTATAATTATACATTGATTTCATAGAATGTGTAAATATTATCATATATAACTATACTAATTGTATATAGTAACAACATTATATATAATTTCAATCTGTATTATATTTTAACACTCTGAACGGATGTACTTTTAATGACTTAGATGGATGCATTTTGTGGTATTAAGTCTCCACATTTAAAACCTTCTTTGTATAAGACAAGAAACATAAAAAAAACCTAATCACTTCATTTAAATTTGGTAGTGCTGGAAAAGTTTGGTAGGTCTTTGATGAGGTAAACTGATGTAAGGATGCAGAGATTCACTCCAGATCTTGTGAGGGAGTCAAAGCACAAAGCTATGTAGCTTCCTCCTCTTCCTTTTCATCTCAGACAACACTTGCCTCCATCTAAATTTATGGGAACAGCACGTTCTGAAGCAGCTACACTTTTTTCATATTTGTGTGTAAGGGCAAACATTCTAGAACTGCAGAACAAAAGGGACTTGTCCTTTAAAAGATATTCCCCAAAATTTGTTGTCCAAAAAGCCCTAGTATTTCTGATCTGTCATCTATGGGAATGTGACCTTGAAAACTAGTTCTGTCCCTGAGGAAAGGAAAAATACTACCTGAGAGAAACATTGTAGGTTCTCCTAGGTATTGAAGAATAAAAACTTTTCAGGGGAAAAAAAAAAAAAGGTGGAATGAAAAGTTTGTTGAGATATTCTACTCGTTATTGAAATGTTAGAAGACTACCTTGAGACACTTGGTCCTTCTATAGAGGTTATTGCTGTAACTCTAGATACTGCCCTGTGTGGATTATTTGTTGAGGAATTAACAGAATTCTTGAAAGGTTTAATCTCCAAAGTTACAAAGTAATACAGTATTTCCTGCTAACTCCTTCATTTTCCTTCAGTCTGTATTTTTGTTAAGGTGTATTCATACGAAGCACCAATTTCCACATGCCAGTCAGTCCCAAATAGCATCACACATTTTATATATAATACTTGAAGGAGTGAACTATTAATCCTGCTCTTCTTGTAGTATTGTAGAGGTTCTGCTTTTATTTTATTGGCAATGACGTTGAGCTCTGCTGTTACATGATTTCTAAGAAATCATTGACTGTACATAAAACTCAGGAAAGAAGAGTAGGTAAGTGCTTTCTCCAATATTCTTGACAAATTCAAAGCATGCTGGTGAATGCCTGTTAGTGACTGCACCTCCTTACCAAAAGGAAACTGCTGTTCAAAAAAATAACTTTTAAAAATATATACTTTATAAAAGATATTCACAGCATTTAATAAGATATCTTAAATCTGAACAGGTCGTTGTTATATTCAATACGTTGTTAAAATGTCCGTTATATAAAGATAATAACTTTATGTCATAACATAAACAAATATTTTTAGCTTCTTAAGAAGCCTGAAAAAGGAGATGAGCCAGCCAGTGAGAGGCACAAAGAAAAAGATGAAGAAGCTGACACTGAAGAAAACAAGTGGGATAAGTCTCCTGGACCTGGGAGTATCAGATCCAAGTCGTTGGAAGGTTCATTAAAAGAGCTTAAGGAGAAGTAAGTGTTATTTATCTTAGAGGCTCCAAATTAGTTCCAAAAATCTTTGATTTGAAGGCTTAGCCAGGATGTAAGAGCTTGGTTGGGTGTTCGTCAGAAGGGAGCTGATTTCATTTTGCATGTGTATGAATCTCTCACTGTCCTTTTTGTAAAAGGTGTTTAGTAACAACTTAGTGACCTGATGGTAGTAATAGTGGATGCAGTTTGTTATTTGTGAAATGCTTTGAAATCCCAGATTGGAAGGATTTCTGCATGAAAAGTAATATACATATATTGCTCATCTCTTTTATCTGTGACCAGGGACCTGAAACATGGGCTCAAAGTTTCAGCATGCCGTGTTCTGAAAGGTCCTGAAAGGTGCTGAAAACTTCCATTCTCTGGTGGAAAATGAAAATATTCAGGAAATCTTGAGTTGATGTTCTTCAGCAAAGGAAAAACAGGACAGGAAAAGTGCCCAAAAATGCTCGTAGGGGCAAGTCAATTTTTTGCTAGTAAGGCTTTTTATGGACTAAGCTTTATGTTCTGCCATATAGCATTTTCAGTAATGATCCTGTAAATTTAACAAGGCATCAGTATAGCTTTTCCAAGTGTAAAAGAGAATCCTTTTGGCTGTGCATGTACAGTAAGTTACCTTGTCTTTCCAAGTGCTTGCTTCATCATGACTATTGATTATTAGGGTAAATAGATACTGTGTTATTGACACAGAAATAAACCAGAACTTGGAACTCTACAAGAGGGGCTGATTTAAGGCTTGCTAGCTATAGCTTTCTACATTTACTTTGTAATCAAGTTATTGCTTATCCCTTTGTTTCCACTCCTCTTCCCTGTGACTGAACTGTAGAAAGCTGCTCTGGCCATACTGCAGCTGGGGTCTGTCTCCCTCTCACTGGGCACAAGTGTTCCTCCATCACTTGCAGGAGGAGATAGCAAGGCACTGGGAAGCTCTGCAGCAGCAAATCTGGGTGTGCCCCCTGTCTTTGGTCACGACACGCTGCAGAGCCTTGCTAGGACCTTCAATTTTAAGCATTCAAATGTATGAAACATACAAAAAGAAACTACCCATATTTGCTGCTTTTAAAATTTAATCTGCTCTGTAATCTTCCTTCATTATTTACAGTTTTGTTTTATGAGAGAAGCGCAGGCTTGCTGAACTGGAACAATGAAGTGAATGGGAGAGCTGAGAGTTGTATCAGACAGGCAGCAAAATGTTGCAAACTAAGAGTCTTTATAATATAAACCCATTGCAGCAGAGCATAAATTTAAGTATTACGTGGTGATAAGGTAATGATGCCCAACAAAAAGAAATATTAAGGTAGGCAAAAGTGTTTGGAGACAAAATAAATGCTGGGAACGCAAGCATTCATTTTCAGATACCTCCCCAAAGTTCCAATGTTTGTCAGTGAATAACTTTTGCTAATAAATGGTTGTGCAGGATGTGCACAGTTCCTTTGGGCCCTGAATGCTTCCTTTCAAGGTAGCACTCTTGTCCATAGGTACGGCTCTTCTCAAGAGCGGCCGCAAGACCTGGTGATGCAGCACAGGGTTATGTGAGGAGCACTGGGGAACCACATAAGGGATTGCAGAGGGGGATAAAGGTTGGAGCAGAGGCCTCCCACAGCAGGTGCACAAAAACCAGATTTTGCTTGCAAAGTTTTATCTGCTGCTTTTTGAACTTAATGCATCATGGAGAGCTGGATATACATAAGTGAGACATTCAGCAAAATTGCACATAACTCTTCTTTATTAAAGGAAAAAGCCTTCATACATAACTGACCTAAAGACTGTTGAAGATGAAATGAAGCTTTGTATTCCATATGTCAATAGCTTTTTTTTTTTAAGCTGTTTATTGCTTGGATTTCCTTTCTTTTTCTACATTCATACAGGTCACAAAATGATAGTGACAAAGAGCAAAGAGATTTGGAGAGAAGATTTCGAGAAAAAGAACCTGAAAGGCAAAGGTATCGACTGGATGATGGCAGAAAGCATAGAACTCACTATGAGTTTGACAAGTTTGTGAGAAGGACTGAAGAAGAGCTGAAATGGGGGAAAGGATACAACCAAGACAGAGGAAAGAAAGGGAACCACAACTACAGCTTCACTGTGGAGGCAGTAGACAAACTGGGTAAAGAGGACAAGTGTGATGACATGGCATCCAAAAAGGAGCGCATAAGAAATAAGGTTCTTTTATTCATTTAGGATAATCTTTCATTAGTTAAATATGCTTCAAGATCACAGGTTTTCCTTTTGCAAACTTAGCATAAAGATACTTTTTTAAAAAAAAAAAAAAAAAAGAACAATTCTTTATTTCATTTTCAGTAAAACCCCAACTTCTTTTTATTGCCGTCAAAGAACAACAGCAGTTAAAATAAGTTATGGTCACAGGTCTCTGCTGATTTGTATGTACCATATTCAACAATACCTTCTGTCTTACTTTCAATCCTAGCATTTTTAGAATGCTATTCTTGGAAGCCTTGTATTTTATGAGCCTATTAAAAATTGTTACACTTCTAGTTTGCAATGAAACTCAACAACTGTGGCATGCTCATCTTTGTGTTTCCATTACCCTGCCCATAAAGCCCTTACAATTGGCCAGGACATCACTAAGGACATAATGTGAGTAATGACATATCTAAATAGCTAATTCAGAAAGTATTTAGGTATGCAGAAGGTATTTAGAGGAATGTGCCATTTCTTCAATATTGTATACCTGTCCGTTGGAGAAGGATGTTGTTTGCTTAGGATTTGTGTTCAATGTCAGGGAAAGAACAGGTGCAAAACCAGTGCAAATGGGGCTGGTAGCAGGGTGTGTAGCAGAGCTGTCCCTCCTCATCTCCTAGGGACACAGGCATCATTTTTCTCAGGCTCTGATTTCATGGATGTGCCAGAGTCTTTTCAGGAGGTGGTTATCCTTGTCAACCTCATTCTCTATCTGTTCTGGTCCTAGATTTTCTGCACAAGATGACTGAAACATTATTTTGTGTAGAAATTTATTCAGCATGTGAATCTCTTCTTTCAAACCAAATTCCTGATAAGGGTTGGGGGCGAGAGCTGCCAAGGAGTGAGCTGGTCACATGGTGGCATGAGTCCATATGGATCACATACAAAGCTGGCCCGGGTGGACTCACTATGCAAGCCGTGTGGGTCAGTTTGTGGGGAAAAAAAAAAAAAAGGGCTGTTTTAAAATAGGCTGCTTATTTTGTTTGCAAAGCTTAATGCAAGAATTTGATCAAAAAGCTGTGGTTGTGGTGAATGGGTTGCTCCATAACATTAAAAACTGGTATTTGCGTGAGTAAAATAAACAGTCTACTAGGAAAAGGCTTCTTAAGCAGTGTTTCTGTAATACATTTTATTCTTGAAATTTCAAGAATAAAAAGCACTCGCAAGAGCTGTGGAACTTCCCTGTTTGCAGGCTCAAGGTCTCTTTTCCTCTTTTTCTCCCATTTCCCAGTGGTCAAATCAGTGTGTTGTTGGGTCACACATGCGACTGAGTCAGCAGCACTGAACACATTCAGTTGAGGATCATTTTCTAGCTGTTATCTGCTAACGGGCCTACTGGTTTGTCTCATTTCATTGTGCTTATAGTTAGTATTTCTCACTCATCTGCCAAGTTGCAAGTGTGCAGGCTGTCGTTTCTGATTGCTGCTGGTGAAGGTAGCAACATATTTCAGAGTTTTACCTAGGCATGCATAGTAGTACTGTGTTTGATAACAGCCAGCAGTATTTCTCCTTGTTTATGTCAAATGTGTCATAAGATCTTTCCTTTTTACAGCTTTCTTCACTTATTCAAAATGCTTGGCTTTCAAGAATAGTGTTGGAAGCAAGACAGATATTAAATACTCAGTTGATTTTCCTTACACTTCATTTTTTCCCAGCTCTTACGATACATGAAGTAATTTAACACAAAATCTGCTTTCTTCACAAAAACTAATCTCTTTAAAACCCCACCTGTGTATCCCACACAGGTTTCTCAGAGAGTTAACCTCATCTGCTCCCCCCTAGGATCGCCCAGCCATGCAGCTGTACCAGCCAGGGGCTCGCATCCGAACGCATATGGGATCCACGAGTAAAGCCTACGACTGCAGTGGGAAGTCTTCTGAAGAAGCTCTTGACAAAAAATACGAGGTGGAAAACTCAGTGGGAGGTGGCTCTGAGAAGAGTGAGGAAGCAGAATAAAACAAACTGGAGGAAAGACTTGTGGAAAGGGATGAACTTCAGATTCAACATCGCCACACAGAGCTGTTTCAGAAGCCCATCAACAAAATTGTCATAGCTTTCTCTTACTTCCTCTGAAATAAAGGAAAGAGTGACTGGAGATATATAAAGTATCTTACAACAAAGGGATATGATTGCTTTTTTACATAAAGCAGAGCGAACACCATTTGCCCAATGTAAAAGCAGTCTGATGTTTTATTAGATTCACCTTGAGATATCAAATCTCTAATAGTTTTAAAGGAATATTTATAGAAAACCTCAGAAGTGATCTCACCTTTCCAAGTCTAAAGAAACAAAATGTGGATTTGTGTCATTGTGAGGCCTGAAGCACTTCCAGTGTGTCAGGTGCCTGGCAGTCCCAGGGCCCTCTCCTGCACACGGTGGTGCTGCCCAGCGCTGTGCAGCCCGGGGAGCTCTGCAGCCAGCAGTGTTTGCAGGGCACAGGAATGGCAGTGGGTGTCTGTATGTACCTTGTTGTGTTCACATTGTTTTTCAATTAACTACAGCGTCTAACAAGTGTTAGTAAAGCTACAAGTGTGTTGTTAGAGTGTTTGTCATTTTTGGAGCCACTTCTGCCTTTTATGTTTTAATGGATTCTTGTACTTGAAGCAGAAAAAAGCTAACACAAACCTCAGCACTTAAACAGTGCGTCTGGTTTTCTTGAATTAGCTGGGTTTTTTTATGGTTTTGACACTGACTTTTCAAAAAGTGATTGTACAGTGATGACCTTTTATATGCTGATGTTTGATGTGAGTTGCAGTTGCAGGGTCTGGACAATGTGAGACACGTGAGAGTTCGATTTGTTTGAAGAAAAACAAACACGAGTGTCAGCTGCAAAGTCCCATTTTGTAAGATCCAAGTCAGATTCTGCCCTCTGATGCAGACACATACATATATGTGTGTGTATATATATATATTTACAGTGTTTCCATCGGTTTCAACAACAGCTGCATGTTTATGGAAGGGCAAAACTCACTCATCTTTTACAGCTGAAAGTTTCACAGTCATCCAAAACCGAGACCTGCTGTGTTGATTAAGTTAATTGTAAGACATTCATTTATTTTTTACATCCTCTTTTAGCATTTTGTTAAGCATAACATTTAGTTGTTCTAGAACTGAAAACTTATTGATTGTATTTTCCAAGATACTAAGCATTACGTGAATAAAAGCAACAAGATTTTCACTATGATTTTAAGAACTGATCTTCTGTAGTTTGGGGTTTTTTTTTGTCTGTACTCTAAAAAAAAAAACCATAAGTAGAATGCTGTGCTACTCAGTATTCCTCAGAAACAGATAAAAATAGCATTGAGAAGAATTTTAATATCAAACTATGTAAGTGAGAGGCCAACTAAAACTACTTCAAAGCTTAAGTGAAACAACTGTTGGAAAACCATTTGGTTTTATCTTCATCTAAAGTTTATCTTGTTCACCAGGTTTATTCTGTCTGCTGAGAAGTGATTTGAGCTCAGCTTCCTGGCTGTGTGAAAGAGCCTGACTTGGTCTGAAAAGGAGACCTAACCAGGACAGTTCTGCAGTAGAGGCAGACAGGGTTCAATGGATTGGGGTCTGTGTAAAAGCAATCATTTGCAACCCATTGAGGTGCCCAGGGGACGTGGGCAGAGCTGTGCTGGCTCAAGGAGGGGTCTTGTTTGTGAGAGGAACCTGTAAGAGCAAGAGAAAAAGAGCTTGTGCACATGCTCACGTGCTTGGTATTTTTGGCCAAAGGTGGCTACCAGGCTACTTTCTCACTATCCCATGCGTGCTTGGGCTATAAGTATCTCTTGGTGGCATTATAGGTGAGGAACTAAATAGCTTCTGTAGCAGTAAACTTCCACTTGAGGACTTGCCACATTTTAGTTACCAAAGATTGGACTTGAAAGCTTGACTCAGTAAAAACTGTCAGGGCTTCAACATTCACATATTTCGGGAAAAGCTGTCACCCCCTCACTAACTAGGACACCTGCATCCCATCTGACTGCAGGGAAGCTGGCCTTGGGTTTACACATCTGCACAGACGGGGTATCCAGAACATTGATATTCACAGGGAAAGCCAGGCAGGAGGAGCTGCCACCTGCTCAGTGCTTGCTCTTTTTCCTATGCGCCTCCTGATGACACAAAATAAATGCAGGCTTGCAGCCTGTCTTTGTACAGAGTCACTGTGGCGTGAGAGCTTTATTTCCACAATAGCAACTTTGTTTTGCAAATTCAGCTTTGCTGAAAGTAGATCCGGCTTCCCTGAGAAACGGGAATTGTATCTAGTTGCATCACAGCTGATTTCGGTGCCATCTGCTTCTTTGTTTTTACAGTATAGCGCTCTCTTCTTTAATACAAATCTTCACCACCTTGATAGCCTCCCTCAATTTCTGTTGTCCTATTTCTTACTGGATTCCAAGGTCATCAGAATTTTGCAATATGGAAATCACCTCGTCTGTCAAGATGGAGTTAGGCTCCATTCTGTCATGATCTATTGTGTCAAAGGAAACGGATGTGGGATATAAATATTCAGTAAAAAAATCTGCACTCACGCCTGTAGCAGTTGTCAAGAGCAGGCAATTCAGTTCCCAAACATCATTCTGCCAATTTCAGATTCCATTTTTAAACACATTCTGCTGTTTATTTTTAATAAAAAACAAATGGCTATGAGCCATTTCCAGAAAGTCTTGGGAGATACGTGGCTTACTTCTTCACGCTGCATACACGGTTTGGGCTGGAAGATTTTCCCCAGAGAATAGGAGAAGAGCAACAAGCCTTAGCTTGCTGTCATGTGCCTTTGCATAAAGAGCTGGGAGCTGATGACAAGTGACCACTCCGACATCCACGTCTTGTATTCAAAAGGAAATGAACCTAAAAAGCATGCAGGTGCCCCATCTGTGGTGCCAGCCTGTTCCCGTTGTACCTACAGAGAGAGAGACACTTAGCCACGAGTGCTGACAAAACATACTGCCTCCGTGTGGGCTGTGAGGTGTGACGGATCACTGCTAAATGCCACCTGATGTTACAGCAGATCAGGGAGACAACTACCAGCCCTTCTGAAAACACTGCACGTTTTGGTTAATGTTTTTTGGTTGATGTTTTAGCACTGCTGAGGTTTGTATGTAGATTCTATCTGAAAGTGAGAGCAGAAGCTTTTGTTTTGGAGGTCTTGCGGTTTTCCCCACACTGTAAGCCAGAGATCCTCAGGTGGCAAACGATGATAACTGCTGTATCAAACACATATAAAACATGGAGTGGACACATTCTCTTCTCAAAAAAAACCCAAACCAAACCAAACAGCCAAAAAACAGACAAAATCAGTGATGGACCTCCTTTAAAGGAGAGGAATTAAACTCTTGCGTCTGAGTTGCTTTTAAAAATATCCTCGTGCCAAAAGACTTAGAAAAGAAAGCCAATTACTGCTGTCACCCAGCTCTCAGTTATTTAATTTCTTAATTAACTTTGTGTTTAACTTTGTGCTATTATGATTTTTTTCGTATGTGCACTGTTCTATGATGTGCTATTGTTCAAACAAAAACCACAGAGGACTTTCAAAAACCAGAAGAAGGGAAGTATCACAGAACTTCACGCTTGAAAAAGAAATGTAAATTTGTGCTTTCTCTGGAGAAACATTTCCCATCAGAATCGTGCTCAGCAGGCAGGAAGGAGCATTCAGTATAAATTACAGCATTTAAATTATGTCACTTTTCAAAATATCTTTTGCCATTACTATAAAGTCAGAGCTGTCTGACAGATTCCCAGCATGCTGAGCAGCTTTAACAACAACAGAGATTTTCATTTCCAGAAGTGTAACAGTGCAATAAACTTTTTCTACTTACTGGCATTAGTGCATGCTTGAGAGCATGCCTGCATCTGGGCCTCCTCACCTCTGCACCAGCGATGGAGATGCAGTGGAAGCCTTTGCTGGGTGAGGGAGAGCAGAGCTCAAGATGGGTCTCCTGTGGTGAGGACACCACCACGCTCATTCCTCCTAACCTGTACACAGCAACACCAAACCTGTCTGCCACTTCATCTACTACTTCATCTCAGTCCTGGCAGGCTGTCCTTTCTCCCAGCTTTCTGGGAGAAAGCTTTCTGTAATGCAAGTGTGAAAAGATATAATTGTTCAAATTATGTTTGTTAATTATGGAAACTTTGAGCCAAATATTCATGGGGATGGCTGAAATTATTTTTACAGTATTTTCTTGACTGAAGGTACGGTAAGAAGCTCCATGTGTCAAATGTTTCTTTTTTTTCCCCTGAATTTTACCATTAGAAAACATTTTTAAGATATGTTTTTAAGAGATCAGTATGAAACTACGAGATTGACAGGATAAAGCTAGGTCTGTGCAGAGCTCGGCTCCACCAAGCATGCACTAAGTCATCACTCAGTCCCCATGACAGGAAAGGGCTTCACACAGCCCTCTGTCTGAACACGAGGACCAGTGGACAGCCAGCACCTGGTTTTGGTGGTTCAAGTTCAACTGGCACTATGCTGAGGATCTTTAAAGCAGAAATCAGCCTGCAACATGGCTGAAGAGATACTGATGGGTACTGCCTTTTGTGGATGACCTATCAAAGGATTTAAGACGTTGAACAGAAAAAGATGATATGTTTCTCACCCATAGATTTATTCTCATTTACTCTTAAAATATCCTTACACCCAACTTGTTTGCTGATAGTACTCAGGTGACAACGTCACAGATTTCCCTACTAACATCCCAAATCATTTTTCCCTGAATAAAATCAATACATCAAAGCTGGTAGTAATACAACCTTAAAGTTTGGACTGTAACTTTTATTCCTCCTTATGTCTGGACATCTGAGATTCTTTCATTCAATGTGGTGATGGCATGTGGCAGCTCTTCACAGTGACTCTCATTCTTACTGCTATAAATAAACATTACCAAAAGACCTTGTTATTTCATTGCTACTGAAATTTGCATCCAAGATACAGTAGCCCAAAACCTTTGGCAAAAGACCAACAATTTATTCAGAAGCACTAGACTAAGATCCAACGGTCAGGAGATTTTAAAAGGAAAAAAAGGTACTACAGGGTTTACTTTCTGGACA